AATCTTACGTACAGACTATTTTGTTTAATTTATTCATTCAGTTAACGCCAACGGTGCAATGTCGTTCAACGCTAGAGCTACCGGGCAGTCGAATTGATATCCTCAAATCTCTGTATACGTAAACACTATAAGGGTTATCTTATTTAAAAAATTACTGTCGACTATCTTAATTAATTGATTAATTTACGTATTGCCAATTGAACTTCCTTTAACAACTCCCCAGAGAAGTAATAACTATATTTCGATTTAATGAAGGCATACTAAGTCACGATAGATGAGTGCACATTTTTAACTAAGTATTTCACATATGAATAAGTTAACAAATTGTTATACATAATTATAAATAACCCCTTACTTTGACTCGTCTAGCAGTCCCAATGTTGGAAGTAATAAACGCTTAAGCACCGATAAAAGGCAAAACAGAGATGAAGAAGCAGCTTATATATCGTCGTCATTATCGCGATTACTACCGCGAGCTAATATCGCGAGCAAATGTACCTTCCAGTTTCAAGGCACGCACAAGAAATCAATGTCTCCTGCGTGTATACAACAACCGGGCAGAGACACTGATGGCAACCGATTTGTCCCGGCATGTTATATCGATAACCAGCCGGTACAATGGTACGTACGCGTACGCACGGGTTTAATAGCTTCCGGTCAATTCAATACATAAATTCAGGAGCCCGTGCGCGGTACGAATCCCTCCTACTACGCTGCTCCACGAAATTAAAGGATCACTGAATTGTAACCGAAAAATCGTCGATCTTCCGACTCCTGTAACATTATGATAAAAGGTCATACCAGATTCTACGTCGGCTCATTTTAAACCGTGAAGCATCTACTTTCGTCTCTCACAAACTAATTTTCACGATGCTTTCTCTTTACGCAACGGGTAAAAAATTATACGGTTTTCACCGTGCAAAATTTCCTATTTTCAGACTTCATCTCCACGGACGCTAAAAAATTTTTCTCGAGACCGAATCCACCGTAGATTCGAAGATTGTGGTCTCCCCTTTACAACGAACCCTTAAAACTGGATCTGCGACTCTTTATCACCGTTTTATCGATCTTCAAATGAACAGTCTGCCCCTCTCGTCGCGCTGATCATGTTAATTGTATTCTAAACGTAGATATTCGTTGAAAATATGAATAAAAATTCTTGAAACTATTCAGAAACTACTCCATCGCTGAATTTTAATATAAATTGGTAAAATAACGTGATTCTCCCGAATAAGCGAACACGTTCAACGATGTATCGAACGTGAGATGCAACAATTTCGACGGAACCATGCGCAAGGGTTGAGCGGATGGTTTCCATAAACAACGGGCGCGAAAACTTTCGATTAAAAATCCGCCCCGCCGTGCACGATGAAAGTTTTCCAAAGGGGACAAACTGTCCCGAACATTGAAACGGAACTCGGATAATTTCGAGCGTGAATATTTTAAGCGGCCATCAGTATTCCGCCGCCGCCGTCGTCGTTGCCGCCTATCTTCGTATATTTCAACGTGTACCGGGCACGGAATGGAAAAGAGGGAGGGGAGAAAAAGGGGGAATGATCTTGACACTTCGTTTCTGCCGTTTCTACTCTCGTTCGAAAATATTACTCGCTCGACGCGTTTACGGTTGAAAAGCATTCGTTTGGCCTTTACGATTCTACTTTTATCGAGGGTAGAAGGCCTACGGCCTGGAACAGGTTTCCTCTCACCACTCTCACTTTCTGCGACACATTTCGATGTGTATCGAGCGTTCGGATAACGAGGAGATCGATGACTGAGACTTTTAACGACAATTCTTCCACATAGAATCAGAACGATGCAGCCAATCGCGAGTCGCTGGACACTAGAGCTAACAGACGAGTCGTAACAACCGATTTCTGATCTCCTCTTCCACAATTATTGGAAGGACGCGAATGCTACTCGAAGAAATATCTCTGACTCGGTGGCACGCTAATTAAGATACGAGTCAATCGAAATCTCAATGAGCGCAGTCTTATAATTCTTATAGAAAAATAACGGAAAGTCATTTTGCGCAGTTTGATTGCTCGGTGGTTCTGGCGTTAAGAATGTTCCAGGAAATACGGGAATAACGACGAACAAAAGAAGAATTAAAATTAAACGTGCGAATCGAAGACTTGGGATGACGACGCGATTCGGTTATTGCGTTTTTAGTCGTGTTTGGCAGGGAAACGGTATCGAATTTTCTGAACAATTACAAATGAACCAACTTGAAAATTTCGATTTTTGGCACTCGCGGTGTTCCCGACGAGTTATTTCGCGGCGGGGATTACGGTTAATATACCGTGGACGTTTACGATCGGTAAATAAAGAAAGAAAGATTACTTTGAAGCAGGTATCGATTTCCTGTAGTCGTGTGCGGCTATTGCACACGATCGTGTTCGCTGTTCATCGATTAGATGCCGAAGGAATTCGAGAGTGAATGTCTGGATTACAGCAAAGAACGTAATGCAGTTACGAGACACTGGTAATTGCATCACGTGCCGCGACCCACTGTCGACCACTTAGAAATAGTGTCAATGTCGTTGCCCTCGACGATTTTACGTGTTAATCGGATAATTCGACCGATCGACACGGATGAAATGAGTAAATACAGATTTTGTCGGTACTGAAAAGGATACGTTCGATTATACGATCGAGAGAACAACGCATAATCATTTACCCGTCACTACCGGAAAGTTCTCCGTTAAAATGGAACATTCAATTTCTTTATTCTGATGTAATAAACGAAACTGTTAGGCAGTCGAGCATGTCCGCGCAATTGTCGGTAAGTTTCCGTTTCGTTTTTCTGATAATGAAGCTTCGAGTTGATGCTCGTGCAATTACATTAAATATCATTAAGAAAAAATATATAAAAATTCTAGATTTCTTGGAAACCGCACAAATTTATCGAGCAACCTAATAGATTTAACGTTTGTCCTAGGCCTCTACTTAACTCTCTCCATTACTCGATACGAGGCGGTGCTTTAGAACTTGTTCAATGTCTCTCGTTACTGGGGCGAGCAATATTATCCTATACAGGCGACTGAAAAAAGATATCCATCGGATGTTGTTCGCCTTTGATTCGAGCTATAGAGGTGTCTACAAATTGCATGAACAATTAAACTTGCTAACGAGTTTCTATTTTATAGTATGAAGGAACCAAGAGCACCAGACTGATTTTAACGTCAATACTCGCCAAATAAAAGAGTAGTTCTAGCGCTAAATATGGCGGAAGTACTATCGGATCACGAGGTCGAAGATATTTTTCGGGCCGAAGTTTATCAATGTTAATTGATAAAAGGAGCTAGATATTTGGCAAGCATGACCGGACGAGAGTCGAGCCACGTGCTCGAAACTATTTCTTTTTCTTTCTTAAAAAGAAGAAAGGGTCGCCGAGAAGACCGAACTATCCGTCAGGCAAATGACGTGTTAAGACCTTGATTACGTACATGGTTCTTTCTTTTGCCACGTACACCGAAAACTCGTTGGCAATGTAGAGATAAGACGATCGAATCGGACATACGGAATACCCCATTAATATTATCATCCCGAACGATCAAACACCTGGACGCGTTGAATCTGCTCGGGTTTCTCTCTCATCGAACCTCGATCTCATCTTTCAACGACACGATACCTGAGGGAACATTCCGAGATCCTGCCTTTCTTTTTCTTTCTAACGAATTAATCTAGATTTCCTCCGTAATTTCGTTCGCCGCGAAAATAACTGCAATTCAGAAAGAAACAAATATATGTAAGTTCATACATGTTTTCCGTGGCGCAACTTGTGCTCGAGTTTAATATATTATGTACACGATTAATCTAGTTCACTAACGTGCGACTCTTGAATAGTTACAAGATATATACGCTCGAATGAAATTTGACTAAATTTTTCAAAACATTCGAATACGTGTCCATTCGTGTTCCGAGTTTCGTAATGTGTATCTCACCTAGTATAGACACCTTCCACACTGTTTGCAGGCGGGTACATTCTGAATAATTCCGCTCTTTTAGAAACTTAGAAACTATTCGTAATCTGTAAAAAGAAATGCGTTTTATAAATGCAATTTCTCACTAGATACATTCGGTACAATGTTTTATTAGTACTTGGCAAGAGTTGTTAATTAAAATTAATCGTGTACAGTAATATCTTCTGTAAATTATTTTCTATGTTCGCGTGATTTTTTAACTTATACTTAGTTCTAATAAAAATGCTGTACTATGTATAGTTTTCATAGGATTGGATGACCTCTGTTTCCCAATTTTAATAGAACTTTGATAGAATTTTGAATAGAATTTTTACATGTATATGTTCTGTATAATAAAGGCTTAATATTGTTGTGTATTTAATAATTGTGTAATATTCTGAGTAAGTTTCCATTGACCCCCCAAATATGAAATTCATATCAGCAATACCTTTGAAGATGGTAGTTCCATATTCTTGAAGTTGATAAGAGCCTCTTTCATCATGTGTACAAAGTACAAGGCCAATTTGATACAAAAACCATGAAATAAAAGTATTTAAAGACTTACTAATTCTTGTGTTTACACACTCAGCATACCTACATTAATTCATTACAGTTGCTGTACTATTTTGGAACATGCAAATGTCTTATCTCATAATTAATCATCAAAGGTTAAAAAAAAGTATTACACATAAAGTTTTTAACAGCCAATGACACGAAGCTTATAAAAATTTTATGTAAGCATAACATGAGATTCTAAACTTTT